TGTCGGTCATTGCACAACGAAAGCTCAGGTGCTTCAACGTGTGACGCTTGATGTGTTCAAGCTTCCTTTTCAAAATCTATTCACCACATAGGCATTCATACACGTTTAGTTGTTCATTGCTCTCGATAAGATTCTCACACGGATGATAGGCACGGAACTGAGTAAAATTCACATTGGACTCAGCGAGGCCGCCTCGCATGCCAGTCCGGGACTGGCGGTCCGCCACAGTGTATAGGTGCTTCCTCATAGCTTCAAATTGACCGCATGTCATTGGTGAGCGCCAGTGTAGCCGCTGCCAGCCAAGGCGCTGCTGGTGCCATCGTTGGAGCCCTGATCGCCAGTGTCACCGACCCTGTCACCAACAGAGTACTCGTAGAGAGATGCTCTCTCAAACAGGTAAGTGTTATCCTCAAAGGTGTATCTTTGTGAAGCCCTCTTCTAGGCACTTGCCGAAGTGGACGTGGAAAAGTCCGTGAAGTACTTCCAGACCACTTTGCCCACCAACTTTATCAAGTTCCCTCTTTTTGAAGTCCTCAACGAGCTCATCCGTCGAGTCGACATTCCCAAGGAGCTGCGTGGCGTTATTACCGGTACCATTCCTTTCTTACTTCCTTAGCCTACCCTGTCTGAGTAGGCATCATTTTCACTACGGCTACCCTTCCCATTACCAACTATCGCTTCAATAAGTCCATGAACAGGGAGGTGGCACTCACCGACCCTTCCCTTTGGACAGCATATCTCCCAACTGTGGTAGGAGCCTCGACGTCGAGTTGTCCGCTTCCATGATCGATTCGTTCGTACTCTAGTTGAGCTCGTTAGGTTCGAGATGTCATATACGCTAATTCACGCAACACCATAGCTGCTTTTATGGCGAGGACATTCCCTCAAGCATCAGAGTCGACCATCGGTATGTGCGGGCGCTAACAAACTTCCTACTAGAATTCATTTCAGGGCGCATTTCTACCATGTTCGTGACGGTGGTTCTGGCTTGCATCATCTCTGCTCCCGGAAACGAGTGGAGGGGATACACTCTACAGAGACCCGACAGGAAAAAGAGCCCGAGGGAGTTCTTCCAGCTCGAGAGGTTCTTAAGGTGAGCTCCTCCTATCGTATTGCGTCGGCCATGTTGTGCTTAGGTCAACCATCGTGGGCGCCTGTGTGATGGGCACGAGCCTTGGCGTGGCAACGGTTGTCGGCCCTCCAGTGCAGCAGCTTCTACCCAAATTAAAGGATCCCAAGGTGAACGGTTGATAGGTTTCCTGTCTTCTATGACTTTTGCGAGGTATTGCCAATCATCATTCTGGCGGCAGTATACTTCGTGGCTAAGAAGAAGTGTTGTCGCTGTCCCTTCAGCAGCCAGGAGGAAGAAAAGGCGGCCAACATGTCGGAGTCCTCTTCTGCTTGAGAATTTTGTTGAAGATGATGACCGATGATTCGCGCCACTATCATGTGTTATTTCATATTCCCATAGTGTGTTTCGTTCCCAATGGCCCCCCAAACAAAAGATTCGTACGTTTAATTTCGTGGCGCGCGGTAAAATGCTCAGTCTTTTTGTGCATGTTGTGCAATTAGGCAATTTTGGTTTTGTCCATCAGCGCATGTAGACATTGCCAGGTTTGTTTTTTGGGTTCTTTGCCATGCCGCGCAAGTCGGGCCCCGCCAAGACTACATCTTCGCCCTCGTCCCCCGCTGCTGGTCCCACCACAGGGGCTCGTAGGGCTGCAACCTCGGGCCCTAGCCATGGCAGGAAAAGTAGTCAAACTTCTACTCAGCAGGTAAACACAAGGAATCACCCTTTTTTATTGTCTCTCCTTTTGGCAGTCCTCTCCTCCTAGCTCTCCTGCTAGTACTGCCCCGTCCACCCCGGCTGCTACTACCCCAATGGCTCTTTCTACCCACGCCCCATCAGCTACCCCGACTCAATCGGCGCCTAGTCCGGCTCCGGCACCAGTAGCTGCTCCGGCGGCGGCCAGTCCCCCACCTGCTGCGCCCTCGGGTAGGTTATTAGATCCTCTATAAAGGGTGGGAGTCTTCCTTGTAGGTGGTGGTGGTGGTGGTGGTGGTGGGATGCTATCTGGTCTGGCTGGTTCGTTGATGGGTGGTATGGCATCCGGTGTGGGAATGTCCGTCGCCAACCGTGCTGTTGACGCCATCTTTGGCCCTAGACAAACTGAGGTAGGTCTCTAGCCCTTCCACTAGGGTGTATTACTTCTACTCAGGTTGTTCACAAGCACGAAGGCGCACCCGCAGCAGCTCCGAGCGATCCATGTACGGGTCAGCAGGACAGTCTTAACCAGTGCCTGTCGAGTAGCGTTGGCCCCCTCGACGGCGATGATTTCATATGTCCTTTAGGTAAGGAGTCATTCGAGTGCCAATCTCTCGTTGATCAGCTGAAGCAGTGCAAGGCGCAGGCAGTTTGATATTTTTTCATCGAATTCGACAAATATCATGACCAATCAAGTACTGTACTGGTAACTCTGAGCTTGTTTGTGAGGTTTCCTGATCTGAAAAGTGTCTCGCGTTGTATCGGCAGTGACGAAGGTAGATGGGTTATAGATGAGATTCAGAGTGGTGTGTATGTTGAGCCCTGGTAGCGCACGCACACGTAAGTTCAACTTGAAAGCTATGGCAAGTTGAAATCATGGCTGCGAGTATGAATTCATCCCTGGGGTGAGAATTTGTGGCGATACTGATTTACGCCGGTGAGCATTGAGACTTGACATGCGTGGTGATGAATATATCACGTTGGAGTAGTTAGTGTCACCATGACACTGTCATCAGACTCAATATCAATGTTTCCGCCGACTACTGGATGAAACTCGAAAGACTACTGCTGCCCAGGATGGTTATTACCCTAGACCTTACCACCAGCTAGCCTGAATGAGCATGTCCCGTCGTGGCTGTGGTCGCACTATTCATTCGATAGGGCAGCCACAGACTGTGGCCCACAGTTCGTCACGACAGTCGTGCCATCTTCTTTGCCATGGCCTCATCTCGGCATCTCCCGACAACCTCAGTCGATCCAGTTGCTCGCAACGCCGTGAGCACTCTGCCTAGTGTAATCGTCTTCATAAGTTCCTATGTTAGCGGGGCGGAGTATTGGTCCGAGAAGAGGCTCTACGGGTGGCCTGGGATTTCTTCGACGCGGAAGTGCATAGGCAACCATTCCCGCCTGGTGGAATCGTACTCACTTCAGGGGATCGGCAAAATCACTGCTGCCGATCTCAAGGAGAGGCTGGCACCGTTTAACAAGGACATCACCAGCAAAGATATCAAGTAAGGGAGGATGGGGTCACTGCGGCCGCCACGCTTGTGTCAGATTTCTGATGAACAACCAGGAAGAGATCACCTTCACAGAGTTGTATCATCTCCTGAGTGACAATGAGCTCACTGACTTCGACCCGATAGCAGAAGCCTTCAAGGTACACCTCACTGTGTATTATCGTTACCACTCAGCCTGGCAGCTCTATGATCCGAATGATACGGGGTATGTCGACATGAAGACGGTGAAGGAGTTCTTCAAAAAGGCTGGCTATGGCCTGTTGTCCGAGGGCGACGTGGACGCTATATGTAAGTCTGCTCTGGAGATACCTGATGGTATGTTGGTTCACTTTAGTGCAAATGGCGGATGCTGATCGCGACGGCAAACTTGGTCTCGGGGATTTCAGGAAACTGGTAAGAAAGGATTTGAAGCTAGTGTGGACCGGTCATGAAAGATTCGTATCGGCCAAGAGGCTCCGTCTACTGAGGTCGATGCTCTAACAACTGAAGGCGATGTTGTGCCCACAGAGAATGGTGGTTTGACCACTGAAGGCGACGGTGTGCTCACAGAGAATGGTGGTCTGACCACTGAAGGCGATGGTGTGCCCACAGAGAATGGTGGTCTGACCACTGAAGGCGATGGTGTGCCCACAGAGAATGGTGGTCTGACCACTGAAGGCGATGGTGTGGCCACAGGTAATGGTGGTCTGACCACTGAAGGCGATGGTGTGGCCACAGGTAATGGTGGTCTGACCACTGAAGGCGATGGTGTGGCCACAGGGAATGGTGGTCTGACCACTGAAGGCGCTACTGTTCCCACAGAATCGCATTCTCCAACTACTGGAGGCAACATCCCATCTACAGAAGCCGAAGCTCTGACCTAAGGCATGTCACAGTGTAGTTATCGTGGTTGTATCAAATACTCCGATGACAATAAATCGTTGCGTTCCCCGAGTTGGTGATAACTGCTACGATGAAGATATTTCATAGTGTGAATCAAATAGGTCAGATAGTCGCTCTGAGTGAACCAGCTAGAACACACTGCTGACGACACACCGACTTGATTCGAAATAATGCCATCATGGAGAAAAAGATGCGAATAATCACGGAACAAGTTGCAAGAGAAATTACCTCGAATCCGCCTAGCTTTTAAGAAGACAGTTCCTGTGTCGCTGTCTCAGTCATCGCAGCTGGGACAATGGCGCAATTCCCGCTAAGTATAACTGCTTGCTTTAAAGTGGTTTTACTTTTGTTTGTGTTTCATAATGTTTAACTCAGTTATAGTATTAGCAGGATATCTCCTGATATCGACATTCACTGTGACTTCAGCAGATCACGCTGATGACGTTGTGAAGACTCTCAACAAGAGATTCAATGACGGTCACCCCACTGATGATCTTTCCGAGGCCGGTGTCCTCATGCATCAATATGATAACCTCGGAGCCGCAGACTATAATGAGTTGTGGCGACCCTACACTGCTCAAGAATGTTCTAATGTCACGGCTCATGCCAACTGTCAGTACTCCGATAGGATATCCTGTCTTCTCATCAACAATGAAGTCCGCAGCCCTGGTGACGGACGTATTCCACTTTATACATATACTCGTGGTGGTACTATCGAGGACCCCGACAACACGCAGGTTACGTGTTCCTATTCCGAAGATGGTGGCACCATGGACCGAAACAACGGTGGTTGTGGTTGCCACAGTGGTGATGTGACATGCAAGTCCATGGGTTACAATAACTCGTGTACTCTGGAGGGTCCAGCCGCCGACTACTCAGTATGCTGGTGGGGTCCTGATAATCTTGAAGATATGATGGATAACCAGAAGAGCGTCTATAATGAAGTTGTGATTAGTTCTGCAACTTATTTAGAGAAGTTGCCCAAATCTATTCAAGCTTTCTTCTTCATCGCCAATAATAGCCAAAGCGAGACCGAGGCCAGGACTCAGTATGCTACTTTCAAGGCAGCTTATCCTGCCGGTGAGGCTCCTCTCCTTGTGCTCGATTACAATGCAAAGGAGAATCCTTTCTTCAAGGCTGCAGATGGTCAGATGTATACAACACCAGCGACTACTCCAGGCACAGGTGAACTCACAACGACTTCTGCGACTACTGCTGCTGCTTATACTACCCAAAGTGGCAATAATGGAAATGATCAGGTCCCTACGACGACCACTGTTGCTAGTACTGATGATGGTTCATCTGGCTCGACAACCTCGAATGCATATTCGAGTTTGCAGAATGAAATGACTGTTGTTGTTTCTATCCTTCTCGGGACGTTGATGATCATGAAACTTTGATCAGCTCCTCGAGGGGAGGTCTTTGAGCTAGACCGTTTAAGTTTCTCTCAAGTATAGTGTCGTGATCTTTTTTCTTGTCGAACAGCCACTCCACCTTCTCTAAGGTATCGGGTTGCCGAGTTTTCCGCAGTCAGAGGGGTTGTAGATCGTAATAGAATAGAATCGATGGGGCGAAAGTAGCCATAACAGCAAGAAGGCTATCAAGGTCTAGCGAGGCACTGCCAAGACTGGGAGAGTGGTGCGAGGTGAGGCATTCTTATTCGACTAGATTAGGACTTGTAATATCTGGCAGATTCCCTATGCATGTTGGACGTATTAGACCGCATTATGCGCAGCTATTATAGCTCGCTCTAATACAGCGATGAAACACTTTGGGTGATAGGCATCTACTAGTAGCCGACCACAGCATGCGAATGACGTGAACATCTTCAATGATGATTGCCGTTTATTGACGAAACACTCGAACCATGAATCTCAATTCGAAAGACAATAAAACACTCATTGAGTCTCCGAGCTAATCGTCGAGTTCGACAACTTCGGAGGGCGGTGTTTCCACGTCTCTTTCCATCGACCCCCTCGAGGCTAACTCGCAGTGACTAGTGTCTCCTACCGGGTCCTCGGATAACACTGCGGGTTGGCTAACCTTGATTGCCGCGAGGAGAGGGGCGTGGTCACTTCCCATGAACCCTTTACGCTCCTTACCAATGCCTAGATTCTCGACACTAAGTATCTGCAAGGCGGGTTCAACCACGATCGTTGTAGAACAACACTCCTACATCATCTTTCATAGACTCAGGTACGAGAACATAGTCGATTCGCATCCCTTTGCCATAGAATCTACCGAACCTACTCGAGTGACTTGAGAGAGTGACGGGACACCGCACCTACTCTGGTGGGTTCGGGGGCTTCCCTGGAGCCCCCCTCCAAGTAGCGTCCTTCTCCCAATCCTCCTCGTGATGGCACTGCCGATAGGAATCGATCAGACCCCCTGCCTCTAACAGCTCAGCGAACCTAATGCCGATATTAAGCTGGAGGTGCGAGCCTAGGGAGCTGACCTATTTTGCTCAGCTTGGGTGAAGCCTGGCTGCCCGACGTCATCATCGCACAAGCCTGGACTCTGCTTCTGTCGTCTGAACCATGCAGGGTTGGGACCGACGTCGTTCCAACTGGCAGCTACGTTCTGAAATATGAAGTACTTCGATCGACTTAGGAGAATCACAAAGAGGCCGAACGTTCATGAAGGAGGACCAGTATTGTGATATATGTTTGGTTTCCTTAGTTGAGCGCAGGAGTTTCCTCACTAATTATAAGAGTTTAGATACCAATTCGGGTAGAATTGTTCAGAAACCTATGAGAATTTTCTGAAAATTTCCTCAGAATTCCATATCGTCACCAACACATCTAGTTGACCATGTGCATATCCCCCCAACACTGGTGAGGCAAATACTCCACAATTCGTACTCGATATCATAAACAACAGTATCACTGTGTGTGTTGGCAACCTACCAAGTCTCCAAGCCAGATGATCCTTTCCCCCTGGGACTTGGCATTCGCGAGGAAGCTCTTAACCTCACAGTCAAACCGTCGTCGTTTAGCAAAGGAGTCTTCAGTCCACCCGTTGTTGGGCACTAACAGACACCTTCGCAGTTGCCCGCTATTCAATGCCTTGCTGCCTACCGTATGTGAGCAGAAGCTGTAGGTTCTCAGAAGCAAAGTCGGCTAAGATGATTCGCCCCTCAGGATGGTGGAAGCCGTCGCCGCCAACTTCAGTGCCAGGGATTTTAAAATGGACCCGATCGGGTTTAGGCATTTTCCTCATAAACATGCCCACTCCAGCCTGCTAGAGCCAACAGTGACGGACCAACAGTAGTGTCACCAGTGCACCTGTTTTATGTTTCTCAAGCTGAAGTAAAGCTGATCGAAGCCACATTGACGTGTGAGGAAGTTCACGACTAGATCTCGCTCCGCCCCCTGATTCGAGTTCACCCGGTCAATCGCCCCTGTGGAGGAACAGGACTCACACGCCATACGGACCTGTCGAACGGGCACACTTGATGAAGAAACAACGACATCCTAGTAATCTGGACTTGCACACTTCGACACTCAACGTCGCACCAGCAGATGATCTATCGTGTTGAAGTTGATTCGAAAATGTATACTACTGTTAGAGCATACGGTTGCTCGGTCGCCTGTCGATGAGCCGTTATAAAAAGCACCAGACGACTTGAGTTGGAAGCTTACAAGAAAATCACCAACAATTTCCTCACAATTCCCCCGACACGTATATGCGATATCTCCCCAACCGGGTATATGCTATCAACTTGAGTCTCAAGAAGTGGCCAAGTGATGGTATCACAAGCCTTGAGATACCATCACTTCAAAGACAAGTAGACCCCACCTCGCAGACACACAGGACGTTCACGTCATGGTCCTTCACGACTTTGGCTATCTCTTTCGCCGTCTCCTTGTTCTTAATTCGATTCAGTAAACTGTCTAAGTACAACCAATGAAGGTCCGCCATATCTCACCAAGAACCCACCAGCGTTCCAGGCCATCAGCCGAATGGTCTCCGGTACTCTCGAGACAACTGTCACTTTAGGTATCTTAGTGGCTTTAGGGTTCTCCACCTTTTTGAAGAAGTCTGTTAGCAGCACGTTCCTCTTCATATCTCAATTCGTTACTTTATACTTCCGTCATCGCCACCATCCACCACTACGGCAAGAACCCAACACTATTTCGTTAAAGTAAACGTGAATCCGACAACAGTAGCATGGAGATCGAATACAACGGTAAACCTCGACCGGCGGCGCCTTCCTTTTGCCCACAATGTGCAGGTCCTTGAGACTCCTCAAGCTGGTCGGGTTAAGATTCCATGCTGTCACAGAAGCTCATCTTGTGCTTTTGGCTATTCTGCAACTTGTCACAGTTGCCGATATCTAATTTCCCGTGGATCCGACTACCATGTCAGTATGACCTTCCGCCTCGTGAATTTTCACAAGGGGTGCCCTTGCAAAGGCTATACAACAAGACACGATCTATGACGTCATACGATGCTTCCCGCATCTGCATCGTTCCCAGCAGGAAGCCCATGGAAGCAATAGATCCCCCGGCGGCGGCTCTACTGTATATTTCTATAGCCAATATCTGAGCGACGCCCCACAGCATGCCCATGGCCCTACTTCCCAAGGCTATTGGTGCCATGCGAATCGTTCCTCAGCCATCTATTACTGATCTTCTCTCGACTTTCCATGTCAGTCCACGATGAGATCTCTGTAGAGACTGAGCTTATACACCATCGTAGATACACTCCGTAAATCGCAGTCTACTGGTGTCACCCTCTTCGAAATCGATTGTTATTCCACTTGCCGCCTCTCTGCCCCTACCGACCAACGTCCTACTTTTCAAGGAGCCTCGTATAGGGACATCCGTGTTAACTGACGAGACCATGACCCCCGCACTGAACAACATAACACATGGATGAACCGTATTGGTATTTCACGACAAGTTGACACTAAGTTGAATGCCTTCAAAGGGAGGGAACAAATTCGCTAGTATTATAAATCTGTTTACCGACTTTCATCAAGTTCGATGCAGCCCTTATGGTATAGGATACTCAGCACGCTGATCTTCTCAAAAACGTCTCGACAGGGTAACTCGGAAACTCGAACGAAGGCCAGAGGAGCAGCTGTAGTGAGGCCCTCCAGAAGGCACACGTCGTTTGGCCGGATTCGCACCTCCAGTTTCTCGTCAGTTACTCGGGTGAATCTTGCCTGATGGAATAACGCATCGATGGTCCTACAGCAGCTAACCTCAACTATTCGACAAAATAACAATCCTATTCATGGCATTTTTCACGAGGCTTTTTTACTATAAAATAAGTTATTTCCATACCATTTTGAAATATCGAGCTCACAGACGAAAAAAAAAATGGTCCAAAACCGGCGAGAAATAATGCTAACACATACCACTCGCGAGGCAAATTCTGTGCTGTACATGGGAGTTGCCTTCGCTATGCAGTATCCATCCCACACATTATCACCGTAGGGCAGCGTCGCTCTTTCGTAGGCTCCTCCAGCTCACACTTAACGTCATATGCTATCCGTACAAGGGAGTTGTCACAGATGACGCCTGGTGGTCGAGGCAGGGCCATCTAGCGATGAAGACCGATGAGAAGACGGACAGAGGTAAGTCCAATACGCTCACACATGCCTTACAGGCCGCTTCTTGTTCTGAGTTGATCTTGGTTATCCTCTCCCGCAGCCGAGATTCCAGATATTCCGGTGATAACTACGACAGAGTAGACCATGGTGACACAAGGTGTGACACAAGGCGGACACACGATGATGGAAATGGATAAAGCGCTGCCCATGACGAACTAAGCAAGTGTTGTGATATACTTGATGGAATACACCACTGATTATGGCAAGAGAGTTAGGTTCGAACCCACGCCCTATGGATATTCAACTACTCGCTCTACCACTGAACCAAATCCACCACACCTTATTCCTTATAGCAGTTAATGCATCCCTGATCTCCTCTGACACTCCGACCCGAAAAGG